GCCAACTCAGCTGCAGTTTTATGTTTTGGTATCTCAGCTATGAAATGACTTCATCTTTTGGTCTTTTGCATTTTAATCATGTGCACAAAGTACTTAAATATCTTCAAACAGCTAAACAACTTTAAATACAAATAAATAGAAATAAATACAAACAGCTTGTAACAGGCGGAAGGCTGAACGTGGACCGTCAGCAGGCGGTGCAGCAGAGGAAGTCTGGCCTGTACAATCTCAGGTCAACATAAATAAAAAGTGCCTAAAACAGAAGTAATGTTGCAAACTGTTACAGTTTATAGGTTGTCTGAACTCAGCGCTCCATCTCAATTGAGATTCAGAAGTTTCTACATCACCACGAGGATGATACAAACAGAAACCAGTGTTCCTGTGCAGTTCAAAGTGCAAACACTCCGAAGAACGTCTTGCCGTCTTCGGCCTCCAGCTCCGACAGCTGGTTGGTTTCCGTCCACAGTCGGTCGCCCTTGTTCAGCTGAAACACGGCGCCCAGGTAGATGGCGTTGTACCAGCCCTGCCCGGCTCTGAAGCTGTCGTCCTGAGCCGTGTTCTGGCACGCCGACCTCACCGCGCTCATCAGCGACGCTCTGCTTCCAATTGAGTCCGAGTAGCGCCAGATCCTGTGGCTGAGCGGCGCCAGGAGTTTCCCGTCGTCGTCGCCGCAGGACACCCTGAACGAGGCCTGACTGTACACGAAGTAGAGCCCGGTCTGAGGGATCACGATTTGGTTGTTGACCAGCCGGAAGCCTCCCTGAGCGAAGGCCTGGCCCTGACCGTTGGTCCACTCCAGGTCGGAGCTCTCGCCTTCTTCGTAGCTTCCTGGAAACAGATGAGAGGGTCGTGCAGGTGAATTATTAGCCGCTGGGTTATTTGGAGAGTGGAATGATATCTGACTGAAGCCAGTGAATAACTTATGCAACAACTTCCTTATAGCAGGCTTCTAAAAATAGGAAGCTGCAAATACGTGGAAGAAAGCATCTGAAAGGCTCCTTTGAAAGCTGAGATCAGGAGCCCATTGTTTGCCTGAATGCAGGTAGCAGTGACTCACCTTCTAGATGGATGGCTGCCTTGGCTTTGCTGCTGATTCGACTGAGCGTGTAGTGGGGATCTGAGGAGAGGAAGACAAATGTGAGCTTGTCTCCAATAATCCACAAAGACTGGGATAGAGCTCACAGAACCGCTGCGCTGGTGATTCACCTGTTTTCTCAGCGCCGTCCTCCCCGATCAGAGCGTCTGTCTGACCCGACTGCGTCTGTGTGGAGAGAAGCTCGATCAGAGAAACACTCCAGAGTTTCACGGCTTCCTATACAAAGTGAAGAAGCGGCTCCTTACCTTGGTTTCTGAGCTCCCGTTCCAGTGCCAAGCAAACATGAGGACGCCTCCGAAACAGAGGGCCACCACCAGCAGGGCCCCGCACGCCTTCAGCATCCACGGCGACGACGACTTCTTGCCGAGCAGAACCACCGTCCTCTCCTCCACGCCGACCTCCACGTCACCCGGTGTGATTGTGTACTCCACCATGCTGTGCTCAGGACTTGTGACTTCTCTCTTTGTGTGTGCTATTGTGTTAGAGTGAACTCCTGCCAGAGAGCTTGTAGTATTTATGCAGTGCTGCTGCCGCTGCAGAAGGGAAACTCCAGTGATGTCACCGTGTAAGTGGAGACAGAGCAGCGAGCGGCCGAGAGGGAAAGAGAAATTTTCAGTGGAGTTTCACCAAAGTGCCGAACCCAGCGGGGAGACGTGGTTTGAGGATGGGAAAGTGGCTGTTTGGGTTTTGAGAAAACACACACACACACACACACACACACACACACACACACACACGGCATGAAGCAGACACACAGTCATGGTCCGCCGTGAGGCTTCATCCACGGCTCAGCAGTCCAGATGTTTGAGGCAACACGGGAGTGGCAGCAAGTAAACAGTCCACCTGTTCACCTATTTTGATCGGGTCAGCTCCACCCGGCTGCCTGTGAACATCCACCAGAGCGTAGTTCATGGAGAAAGGCGCCGTGTGGAACTGTACATGTGCCTGTATGATATAGTCGTTAGTTTCCTGTGTGACTGATCTGTTCCTGTGCTGAGTTTCTACGGCTCTTTAAATGTGCAGTCTGAAAGAACAACTGTTTACTCCTGACACGCTTATGTTCATCCAACGAGCTGTTAATTACCTACTGATTAGTGGCAGACAGTCGTTGGTACCACATGAGGCTCTTCTGACCGGTTTTTCGTCACCTTCTGACCCGCTGTGATTCTGA